CTCTCTCTCTCTCTCTCTCTCTCTCTCTCTCTCTCTCACACACACACACACACACACACAAAGCCCTGCAGCACAGAGAGTCCTAATTGCACTTAAAAAAAACCCCTATATTCATTTGCAAAACAGAAGTAACTCAAGAGCATTTTACAAAGAGTCAAGATCCATGCCAGAGCTGAATATAAACACCTTTTATATCTTATAGATCACATAATAAATACAGCCTGCCATCATTATTGCTGCTGCTTACTGAAAGAGACACCAGTTTGTGAAAAATAAGAAAAAGTACCTTTTGAATTCTTCCATCAATATCCAAATAAATACACTTGGGTCGGTACGTTGAGGAGCCGGATCCCATCTTGTTACAATTGGACTTTTACTGTACTTTCTCAGTGTCAGCTATAGAGCAGGAAAAAAGGTTTAGCCAAACAACACTGAGCCACCACTGCCAGATCCTTTAGTGTCTTTGCTCTTCTATATACCACAGTCTCATGCTCTGAAGATCCCTCCTCTAACATGCATGCATTTTGCTGTGGCTGTGTGCGCGCGTGCCCCCTCCTCTTAGTTTTTCTTTTCTCTGACTCCAGCTGCCTTGGACAGGGAAACACAAGCTTCAGATCCTGTCTTCAAGTGCCCTCCCGATTCCCATAGCAACCCCCTTTGACTTCAGAGCTGGGAGCCTGTGGGCAATCAATCTGTAATGCTGTACTGGAGAGCGGGGCTTGATTAGCTGCTTTCAAAACACAAGACAAAGTACCACTTATCACTGGGAGAATCCTCTACATTAGACTGCAGTCAGTGTCACTTAATTTTATGGTGAAATGGAAACAGAATAATCTATTAACATCTATCCTTTCAGTTGCCTTTCTATGCATTTTAAGAAGTGTGACAGACTCCCAGCTGCACTGGACGCTGACCCAACCCATTTTAAAAACACCATGTAGCCAGAGCTGGGACTGACCCAGCTAAAACTAAGCAGTTTCATTTATATACCGCCTTTGTTATCATTGCGTAGAACACAAGCCAGGCAAGAAAGAGTTACAGTAATAAAGTTTGAAGAAAACAAAGCCTGCCTGTTGCTATTGACCAATGTCCTAAATGCAATTCCTCTGTTTAAAAGAAATTTAGGTAAATGTTAAGTACTCTGGGAAACGTGTACCATATTTGAAAACACAGTCTAAAAACTGGAGGGAGTAATACATTTGCTGTTTGATTCTAAGAGAACTCCAAATGCCATCTGCTGAATGTCTGTCTTGTTTTGCATTGTCAGTGTCTATGGGGAACAAGAACAGTGGTTGGTAATTCTTCGTGGTAGTGTGAAGAGACTTTGAGACAGCGATTCCTCTGACTTCACAAGGCAGACATGATCAGGCAAGCTGTGAGCAGGCAGTGCTGCTGGAAATAGCACATTAGGTTACTTTTATTTCTAAGTGCTTTCTGCGGCTTTTAGTGCTTCTGCAGCTGAGTTAATAAAATATTTCCCTGACTCTTTTGTGTGGCAGCCTGAGAGAAACTATGGAAGATGTGAAACAGTGGATGCACTGAGGGCCCAAATCTGCCTCTCTGACTCACACGACGGCCCTTATTGTATGAGCTGATGTTAATGGGACTACTTGTGTAGTGCGGTACTCCTCAGTATGAGTAAAGTGTAAGAATTGGGCCCTAAGTAACTGAGGAAGAGGACCATGGACAGAGTCAAAAGTGAGTCAGAACCTGCAGGCCTTATTCAAGCAGAACTCTCATGGATTTAAATGGGAGCTTTGCCCGAGTAATAAGTCCAGATCAGATCCACAATTGTATCAATACCACCCTAATAGTGTCGGCAGACAATCTTTATAAATGATGACCTAGAGCTCTTTATAAGATCTCAGAGTTTAGTAAACCACTTTAATTAGAAGGTCTACTCTCTTATTTCATAATCTCATTGTAGATTTATAAAAGTTGGTTGAAGATAAGCAGATTTTTTAAATTCTCTTGTAACAAACTTCATGACAGGCCAGGAGTAGGATTTGAATCCTGGCCATTTAGCACCAAACCATACAACTCGAACACTTGAAATAAAGGAAAACCTCCATTACATAGCCGCAGTAGTAGGCTGTTGTTATTTATAGTGTAACTCCTAGAGGAAAGGGGCATGACACACACTTCAGCAACATGTTTCACTTTCCCTGCTGATTTGTTTAGCACATTATTCTGTTACTGAGGCTCACATGCATCTTCATATATTCAACCAATAATCTTGGGGTATTAGTTACATCACTCACCTGTTTTTGTGTTTGTCTAGTTTGATCAGTCCTCTGTTCTTTTCAAAACACTTTTAGCACTTTGAGCTGGAGAGACCCACTCCTTATCCCAAGCACCCAACCAAATGGAACATGCCTAGGTTAGCATTCAGAAAAATGCAAGAAGTTCCTCCAGTTCTCATTTCAGGTTCAATTCTGTCCATGCATGTGTAAGTGGGGGAATGATCCCGCTATTGTGGGAAACTTTCCTGGCTTATACACTACCCTGGTGAAATGGGATCCAGAGCTTGCCCCACTCCGCATGGCTCCTGGAAGCAGCAGCAGCATGTCCCCCTCTGGCTCCTACGCATAGGGGCAGCCAGGGGGCATCACATGCTGCCCCTGCCCCAAGCGTCGCCCCTACACCTCCCATTGGCCAGGAACCATGGCCAATGGGAGCTGCAGGGGCGGTGCCTGTGGACAGGTCAGCATGCAGAGCCGCCTGGCCGCTGCTTTCGGGAGAGGTAAGCACCGCCCGGAGCCTGCCCCCTTGCTCCCCCATCCCAACTCCCTGCCCGAGCCCTGATTCCCCTCCTGCCCTCCAAACCCCTCGGTCCCATCCGGAGCCCCCTCCTGCACCCCAAACCCCTTATCCCCAGCCCCACCCCCAGCTGGAGCCCTCACCCCCTCCCGCACCCCAACCCTCAATTTCGTGAGCATTCATGGCCTGTTATACAATTTCCATACCCAGATGTGGCTCTCGGGCCAAAACGTTTGCCCATCCCTGATCTGAGTCCTCGCTCCCACTTCCTTTACCCAGAGGCCTGCCTGACCTCAAGGGCTCCCCTTCCACTTTCCTGTGTGTTAGAGTCCTTGTAACCCCGACAAGGCTGGTCCCAGGATTCCTGGGGGGCTCGATCCCCAACCTTGTCATGGTCACTTAGGGCAGGGGCTAGGGTGTCCCCACTCCGGGGTGCTCTCTGAAATGTCTCTGGAATGTAAGGGAAGTTCAGTCTGTTCCTCACATGTCCCAGGCTTCCTTCTCAGGCTCTGGCTGTGCTGCAGGGACGCTGTGGGTTGGACACTTGCTCTGGCGGTGGCCACACGCCCTCAGCCTCTAGGTGGCAGGACCCTTTTTCCCCAGCGTTGCCCCTGCCCCGTCAGGGTTATGATCCCCCTCCAAGTCTGGCCTGCAAGGCCTCTTGGCTGGGGGCATCTCCCTGCATTGGGCCTGCTGCCCAGGATCCCCCTCGCTCTTCCCAGCTGCTCACCATACCCGGCTCCGGACTGCTCCAGCCCCAGCTCCAGCTCCACCACTCTGCCTCAGCTCCCGCTCCACTCTGCCTCAGCACGGCTACTGCTCTGCCTTCAGCTCCCTGGGCTGCTTCTCTGGCCCCTTTGGCTCTGGTTGCTGCAGCTCTGCTCCCAGCCCAGGTCTGCTCTGTGGGCTGCTCCCAGCTCTGACCTGCTTCCTGGGCTGCTTTTCTGGCCCAGCTCTGCTTTGCTCCCCAGCTCAGCTTGGGCCCCTGCTTTCTCCTTAGCTCTGCCCCACTCTGTCTGACCCAGGCAATTCCAGCTCACACGGAGGACAGAACCTGGGGCATTGGCCTCTCCCCATTGTCCCTGGGGACTGTCAGTCTCAGGGTCCTGATTTCCCATTGACCCTTCCCCTTACTTTTAGTACGGGGAGCTAGCCAATCAGAACACCCCCACTGAGTTTTAGTAAGAGGACAACAGTCATCTTACACATGCAACTTCAGTCAACTTCAATAGTATTTCTATCTACCTTTGAGCCTAGTTTTTATAACCTGACTTCTATTTTTGTAGAGACACTAAGAATTATTGGTGAATTTCCTTAACATGCTGTTTACTCTCTCTTCATGATCATTAATGAAGATGTGAGGAGATCAGACTAGAGGACCACCATGGTACATCTTGGCCTTGGAATCTATGATAAGCATGACTGGACCCAACACCAATCCCTTTTGTACCCCCATAGATCTCTCTTCCAACTTGATGGATTGCCATGTACCATTGTCCTTTTCTTGTGGATCTAGAATTAAAGCACTGCTAAAGCCATCTAATCCAGCTCCCTGCCCATGCATATTATTCCCTACTCTACATTTACCAGTGTTTTGTCCTCCAACCAGGGCCGGTGCAAGGAAGTTTTGCGCCCTAGGCGAAACTTTCACCTTGCGCCCCCCCCCCCAAGCCCTGCGGCAGCTCTCCGCCCTGAGGCGCCCTCCCCCCCCACGCGGCAGCTCCCCCCCAGCGGAGCCGTGCGGCAGCTTCCCATCCCAGCTCACCTCTGCTCCACCTCCTCCCCGAGCACGCCGCCCCTGCTCTAATTCTCCTCCCCTCCCAGGCTTGCAGCACCAAACAGCTGATTGGTGCTGCAAGCCTGGGAGGCGGGAGAAGTGGAGCGGCAACCACGCACTCAGGGAGGAACGCTGTAAAAAAAAATTGGTAGCACCACTTTTTGGTGCCCCCAAATCTTGGTGCCCTAGGCAACCACCTAGTTCGCCTTAATGGTAGCACCGGCCCTGCCTCCAGCCAGTTTCAAATCCATGTGACTGCATTCCTATACCCAGACAATTAGAAGTAATTTTGAGAATAAGACTTTGGGCTTGTCTACGTTTAAAATGCTACAGTGGCTCCACTGCAGTGCTTGAGTGTAGATACTCCCCACACTGACAGGAGGGGTTCTCCCATCAGCATAGGTAATTCATCTCCACGAGAGGTGGTAGCTAAATTGATGGAAGGATTCATCATCGCTTTAGTGCACAGTCTGCACTGGGTGTTAGGTCGGCTTAACTATGCTGCTCAGGGGTGTGGATTTTTTACACCCCTGAGCAACACAGTTAAGCCAACTTCATTTTCTAGTGTGGACCTCAGACCTTTGTGACATTGGGTTCAACCATCCAGCACACTAGATCCTGCCAGGGGAGGCAAAGGAGGCTTTCATCAAGGGGAAACCCCTGTACTTACAGAAAGCACAGTTGGTTCTCTAGCATTTATACAGGAAAGACAGGATCACAGTTTTTAAAGCTTCATCTGAAAGAGAGACACAGAGAAGTGGAAATGGAAATGTAATTATCGGCCTCAGAAACATGAAGGGCCAGACGCTGGTGTTAGCATGATTTGAACCAACCGTTTCAGGAAGCTTAGATATTTCTTGGGATTAGGTTACCTAGCCATCCCTCTGGCTAAAGAACAGGGAGGTTATTAAAAATAAATCAAACATTTTTCTAGCCTATTTTGTATCTCTGCCTCCCATTTTGCTTCCTCTGCCTCACCTGTGTCCTTTTTCCAATTTCCAAACTGCTACTATAAGCCTCTCTCAGGTCTGACTTTCACAGGCTCCCCTGAGGGCCTTGTCTTACTGCTTTACTCTTCCATATTTTTTAACTCTTCCACT